CTCTCTCTCTCTCTCTCTCTCTCTCTCTCTCTCTCTCTCTCTCTCTCTCTCTCTGCCTTTTTTTTTTGGTGTTAAATCTTCTTTGATGAGCCTAATTGTGTCATGCCTGCGCCATTAAATCCCGCACCTAAACACAGCGCAGCTCTAACGCATCAGGTGTAATCCAATCTAATGTGATGACTCGAAAAAAAAAAGGGGGGGCGGATTTAGGCAGCAGAGGGCGGGATCGAGCACTTATCCGTGCGGGATGAGGCCGCACTAGAGCCGCGGGGAGGCGGCTCTGTAAACCACAAGATAATAGCCCCGATCTTTTACCTGCAGATTTGCCTCCCGGGAGGATAATGACGGGCGAGAGGCTTTTTCCCCTCTGAGCTACGAAGCTGTAACCTCTTTCTCCCCCTCCCTCCCCCTCTTGTCTGTGCGCAGGGTGGTTGTCCCGTTGACAAAACTCACAGAAACCAGTGCCGAGCGTGTCGGTTGAAAAAATGTCTGGAGGTGAACATGAATAAAGATGGTAAATGGCTTTAATTATCGCTTTTTGACTACAGAAACGCCACATTATGGCGTTAGGATCAGAGTTTGGCTGCCCGGATGAAAGATGTTTATTAGGATTGCTAATCAAGCCTCCAAAGAAGTCAATAACTACCTGTTGTTTGCGTGTTTGAAGCAGATATTTCCTCTCTGTTCTCGCTAGATTTTTTGATCCTTTACGCACAGAGTTTGTACATTTTCTTAAATTAACTCATCTTATTTTAAATAAAACATTATAAATGCAATATAAAGTGGGATAAATGTTGATGTCACTCCCGCAGAGGTCCCTCCTTTAACTCTTAAGCTCCGTTGTTCCGCTTCACAGCCGTCCAGCACGAAAGGGGGCCCCGGACGTCCACGATCCGCAAACAAGTCGCCCTTTATTTCCGGGGCCACAAAGAGGTGAACGGATCCTCGACCCACTTCCCGGGCTCCTCGCTGCCGGGGCCGCCCTTCTTCACCACCGTCACGCAGCTGGAGCCCCACAACCTGGAGATGAGCTCCGTGGCCACCACGCCCGAAAGACAGGCCATCGTGGGGCTGGCACAGCCCACCCCAAAGGTAACATACAACTTTTTTTTTTCGTTTTTAATTTTAAAAAAGGTACATTTAGTCTTCAGATGAACTCCACTTTCAGCTGTTATAATATTTTTTATGTTTGTATGAGTTTGATTTAAAAAAAAAATCATTGTTATAGGATGTTTTATTTTCTTCATCAGGGGTCAGAAGTTGAAATTCCTGTCCTGATTTAGCAACACAAATCCGCCAATTAGATGTTATTTCCAGTAAATCCAGCAAATGCAACACTAATGATTATAAAACCAGGTGCTAGAGATTGGAATTTGAGCTCTGTTCCTCGCTACTGGGCCCGCACGTGTTTTCTTTTTATTTATTTATTTATTTGCTTGTTTATTTATCTCATATTTAACCCTTCAGTATCCCCATGAGGTCACCGGCACCCCCATGTACCTGTACGAGGTGGCCACGGAGTCTGTGTGCGAGTCGGCCGCGCGCCTCCTCTTCATGAGCATCAAGTGGGCCAAAAGTGTCCCCGCCTTCTCCACCCTGCCTTTATCTGACCAGGTGAGAGCTCACAAACCAGAACATATCTTCTTGAGTTTTTTTTTTCTTCCTTCAACACTAAAACCCAAACTCTCCGCAGCTGATTCTGCTGGAGGACGCGTGGAGGGAACTGTTCGTTCTGGGCATCGCGCAGTGGGCCATTCCCGTGGACGCCACCACCCTCCTCGCCGTCTCAGGTGCGTAGAGCTCCAGTGACTTGAAGAGTGCTTCCCTCGAACGGCGCAACCCTTCTCATGTCTGCGTCCTTTTTAAAACCAAAAAGGGATGAACACGGAGAACACGGAGTCTCAGCGGATGAACAAGATCATGTCAGAGATCCAGGCGCTGCAGGAGGTGGTCACCAGATTCCGCCAGATGCGCCTTGACGCAACGGAGTTCGCTTGCTTGAAATGCATCGTGACGTTTAAAGCAGGTGCGTGCACGTACACAATGGACGCAATTTGATTTAAAACTAATTGTTACTTTCTGAGCAGGCTGTTTTTATTTTGTTTTATTTTTAGTTCCCACGCAAGGTGGCACTGAATTAAGAAGTTTCCGCAACGCCAGTGCCATCGCAGCGCTCCAAGACGAAGCGCAGCTCACTCTCAACAGCTACATCCACACCAGGTGATCTCATCCGCCTGTTTTTGCGCATGCGTAATGGTTATCTAATTTGGCACAGGTGTGACAGGAGCTTATTTTGCCAGAGTTGTAAAGTAACTAAGTACAAATACTTCTTTACTGTACTTAAGTAGAATTTTTGGGTATCTGTACTTTACTTGAGTAATTATTTTTCAGCCTATTTTTTACTTTCGCTTCTTACATTTTCACACAATTATCTGTACTTTCTACTTCTTACATTCTTAAAAAAGACAAAAAGTAGAAAGTCGTTACTTTTATTTCATTTTTGTTTTTCATTCCAGCTTATTATAAAAATAAAAACTATCCATATGAACTGTGCCTCCTTGATAGAGTGAATTTAATTGTGGTTGAATGAGAAGTATAAATATATAAAACTCTGATACTGTATTAGTTTGTACACAAACTAATCATGTCACACTGCAGCAGGACATAATCATTAAAATAAAAGGACTGTACTTAAGAAGTATTTCATGAATTATATTATTGCATTTGGCCTCAATAATGTTATTTCTGTATTTTTTGGGGAGGTCACCTCCTAATAAATGTCATTACAGAAAATCTAACTGCTCATTTTAAATCAATACTTTTACTTTTAATACTTAAGTACAAAAAATATCAGATACTTCCTAAAGAAGACTTTAACTTTTACCAAAATAATTTTTGGTAAGATACTTGTATATTTACTCAAGTATCACTTTGTGCTACTTTATACAACACTGTTGCGCGTCAATCCTCACACAGCCAAACGGTTGTTATATTTAGTTTTTATTTTATTTTGGGGTTTCTGTGTTTTCCCAGGTATCCCACTCAGCCCTGCCGCTTCGGGAAGCTGCTGCTGCTCCTCCCGGCGCTCCGCTCCGTCAGCCCGTCCACCATAGAGGAGGTGTTCTTCAAAAAGACCATCGGAAACGTGCCCATCACCAGACTCCTCTCGGACATGTACAAGTCCAGCGACATTTGAACTCAGACGTGGGGAGGAGGATAAAATAAAAACAAATAAAGACTCGGGTCATGTCAGGTGCAGAACTCTTAGTGTAGCCTATAGGCTCAGCTGAAACAAAAACACCCCCCCCCCCCAGTATCATCACTTTATAGTTAGCAGCTGCGCTAGGCAAAAAAAATAAATAAAAATATTAGCATCATAGGCCGCTTACGTCATCCAGAAAGTGCAGGTTTTTACTTTAAGACTCCGAAACCTCCCGAGTTCACAGTTGTTCTGTAAAACAATGTTTTAAGTGTCTGTGAGACCAATGAGCCTGACGACCAACTCAACCGTTTTAACTGCTGTTCAATCGCCAACGGAGGAAACCAAAAGAAAGACGGCGCATGCGCAGAGCGAAGAAGCGCGCGTCGCTGTTCCCTCAGTCCAGTGCTGAAACCAAACCCGCAGAGGGTTCCAGCTCTGTGAAGACCTGCGGAAGAAAATGGAAAAGGAAAAAAAAAAAAAAACTCTTTAAAAGAAGAAAAGTTGCTTTTTTTCCCCCCCTCTCCTGACTGTAAAACACGATACATCAGAGGATGTTTGTTTGTTCCAGTGGCTGCTGTCCCCATTTGTGTTAATGTGTTTATTTGAGGCGCGTTGAAAATGTTTGTGAAGATAGACACTAACACCAGATAAAATAATATCCAGCACTTGGATTTTTTTTGTGGACTGTGGTGTTTATATCATGCTGTAAATATCTGGTTATAAATAAACCTTCGCACAAAAAATAAGTAAATTTGGGTTTTATTTGCTGCAGCAGTACTTTTTGGCAGTAAGTTACAATATACAGTAATGTTCTAGAATTAAATGGTGCCTCATTTGTTAGGAAAATGCATTGTGGGTTGAATTTGCTTTTATTAGATTGAAGTCTGTAAAAACAAGCATTTTATATAGCAAAAATGTGCATTAATAGCATGTGGAAGAACCATACACAGCCACAACAGCCTCCTACTCCCCTGGCAGCTCATTCTTCAACTAGCATAGCTGTGTAACTCTGGAGCGCCCAAGATGCAAATTTCTGGAGGCRATCTCTGATAAACCCTTGTCACCTTACAGTTTGGTCTCAGAATGTCAAAATGTGGGAAYGCCTCCGGTGCTGAGGACGAGCTGAAAACAAGAGCGTCCCTGAACCTGCTGTCTGCCATTAGCAGAAATGAATTGGCACGTTTAATTTTCCTAACAAATGGAAAAACAAACCAGCTTTCAAACAAAATTCAACATAAATATAAGATTTATTGCCAAAAAGCATTGTTACAACACAGAAATAATCAACCAAAGACGTTATTTTCTTACTTTTTGTGCCTTTTAGTGTATAATAGAAAAAAATAAAGTATGAATTCTCTACGTAAACACAGTTTAGCTGCATCAGCAGAAGTTTTGAAGCTACAGGTTGCTGCAAGTCAATAAGTTGCTTCTTTCACACGGAATTGCTTCCTCACTGCTCAGTTTTTTTGAAAGGTCTTTTTCTAATTCCACTTTACAAGTGTATACGTTTATGACATACTGTTATGATTTCAACCATGTACTGTGAATCTAATTTAGCTTTATGGATCAGGGTTAAACTAATTATCCAATTATATACTTTTATTTGCCACCAAATCAATAGAAGTGATGAACAATAAGTCATTTGAATTAGTTATCAAACTGCAAAATACATGTTTAATATATAGAAAACAGGTGTCCTGAACAATATCACATGCTAGTGTAAAAAGTGAATCCAGTAGTTCTCCAGATATATTGATAAATTTTTAAATGCAGGTACGCATTCAATGTAAACAAAGTAATATCTGCATACGTTGCTCAACAAATCTGAGCATAAACACGAACCGGTCAAAACTACTTTTTAAAAATGTTTATCCTAAACAGCTCGTTTTCTATTTTCAGTCAGTTCAGCTGTTTCTGCAGACAAACACGTGCAAGTTGGCAGCTGTTTGCTAATTTTTTACCTTCAAATGTTTTTAACTATCAGAAATTTTGTTTTGGGATTTTCTTCTTTTATGTAGCGGTCTTTCTGACAGTGCGATGATTATCTTCACACACCTCTAAGATTGATCAAAGAAGGGTGGCCGACATAAACAACAGCAACGTGCACACACACGCGTGGCGACATTTCACCTGTTTTATTGGAAAATCTTCAAAATAAACAAAAATGGCACAGCAGTATACAAATCTCAAAATGCATAAAGCCAGTAGAAATACTGCAGTTCCCTCTGTGTAAATTGTTTGCTAGAAATCGTTGTGACAGCTGGGGAGGTGCTGGTTGAGAGTCGCACACAAACACACATGCACGCGCGCACAAACATACTCTTTTTTTTTTTAAAGACAACAATAAGTCAGGGYTCATCTTCAAATGCGTGTATGCGTGTTCAGTTATGATGAGCGAAATGCCAGTCCTCCACGGCAAAACGCTGTGGCTTTGCATACAGAGAAAGTCGAATACATGATAACGTATAAAAGAATATATTCAGGACATTGCTTCATGATAAATATATAATATATATCTGTGTTAGTGGCATTTCCAGACAAAGAGATAGAACTATAAATCACTTTAGACCAGCTGTGTGTCGAACATTCTTAACTCCAACTAAAAAGGTGAAAACAGACATTAATCAGTTAGTAATTAAACAAAAACAGGCAATGAATCGTAGGGTTTTTGGAGCTGTGACGATGAGAGAAACTATCACTTTGTTTATCGTTCAGGAGGAACCTGGAGAGAGCTTTGGGTTGTGGGGCCAAGTGAGACCGAGCAGAGCTAGACCAGGCCAGGCCAGGCCAGGCCAGACCAGACCAGGCCAGGCAAAGCAGAGACAACTTTTTTTTGTATTTTTTTCTGTTCAGGCTTGTCTGACTTTGGACGGGGTGTAGCTCTTGTCCACGATCTCATCCTGTAGAAACATGTGCAGGCAGCGTTCGTTCTGCGCTAGAGGGTGACCGGCCACTCTGAAACAACAAGAGCAGGAGAACTAATTACTAAAATGAATGAATGAATGAATGAATAAATAAATAAACTCGAGAATTTGCACTTTCTGCGAAAATGCAGCGTGAACTCTTATTACTGAAGACTTTTGCAGAGAAAAAAATGTACAAAAATGTTGTAATTTGTTGTAAAATGGCCAAAAAAAGGCCAGCATTAGCAGAGAAGTATCTAAAAGTAGCCAACTGAGCTGAATCTAGCACAAAACCTGCAGGTTAAAGCTCAATAAGCTGAAATTATTACAAAAATGTGAATTTAGAGGAAAAAAATTCTAATTAGCTAAAGCTAAAAAGTCACTGAAACTGCAAAAAATAAAAAAAGCTGAAAAAAGCTGATAGACGCAGTAAAATATTTAACTTGACAGATTAGCTGAAAAGGCAGAAAAAAGCTCAAAATACTTAAAAGAGAAGCTGAAAGAAGCTAAAAAATACCACAAAAGTGCTAAAAAAACAGAACAAAGAGGGAAAAAGTGTAGAAAAAGTTTACGTTTTGAAGGATTTTAATTTGGCTGAACACACTCCATTCATTTTTAATGAGAACAAAAAAGTCCAAAATGGCTAAATTTCTCAAAAAGTACAAATTACTGAAATACTAAAAGTCACAGTCAGAATGTCCTGAAATAGCTGAAGGTTTTGATACATGAATTGTTGAACTAGCACAAAAACTGTAGAACAAAATACATGCAAAAAATGGAACAAGAAAAATGGATCATCTCTGATAGCATTCACACAACAATATAAAAAATACTGCAACAGATGGAAAAAACCTGTTATTTTTCAAATAAAGATGTCCATAAAAGGCTAAGCTCTCTGTTTCCTGGTCGGTCTATGTTCCTACTCGCTCCTGAGGTCACAAAATTCTGCGTAGTGACCAAAAGAGTAAGATCGTGGACACAGGAAGTCAAAATGAGTTCCCTCCATGCAGGGTAGCTGTGTTCCCCTTTGAGATGAAGGTTGAGAAGTTCAGTTATCCAGAGAGGAGCTGCTGCTCCTCCATACTGAAGGAAACCAGTGGAGGTGGTCAGCAGTGACGTGACGTTTGCGAACGATCCGAATCTTTTGAAAGGCTCTTTACAACGAATGATAGGAGCCGAATCGTGGGCATTAACGAGCCATTTGTAGTTTTATTTCTTTTATTCCTCATATATTCTTTATTTTTTCATACTTAAATCACTCCCGCTTTGCTTTTTCATGGAAAACAGGCGGAGCTGTGGAGTACAGAAGCTCACGGTGAAAGGGGGAGGGAGGCTTCCGCTTGACAAACACATGGTTCCACCCATGTGACGGGATGACGTCATTACGTACGGCTACGTGATGACGTA